TAAATCTATCCATTTTAATGGTAGTGATAAATCAGAGAACAGGAAGAGCCTTGCAAGTGAATGCATTCGAGATATGTTAAAAAAGAGTCATATAAGGAAGATCACAAGATGAAAGATGAGTTATCTTTTATTAAAAACATTTTACAAGAGTTAATATTCAATTTAGCAAATATTTTCAAAGTTAAATAAAATATAGAGTAAAAAATATTTGACTTAAAAAATAATTAGTGCCAGGCATGGTGGCGCACGCCTTTAATCCCAGCACTTGGGAGGCAGAGGCAGGTGGATCTCTGTGAATTCAAGGCCAGCCTGGTCTACATAGTGAGTTCTAGGTCAGCTGGGGCTACAGGGAGACCCTGTCTCAAAAAGACCAAATATATATATATATATATTAGCCTACAAGGTGTTTGGTAGTGCATGCTTAGAATCCTAACATGTATGAGGTTGAGGCAAGAGGATTTAAGGTCAGCCTGGGCTACATAGTGAGTTCCATGCCAGCTGGGGCTACAGGGAGACCCTGTCTCAAAAAGATTTAAAAAAAAGTTATTAACAAAACTTTTAGGTGTGTGTGTGGTGCACGCTTGTAATCCTAACACGCAAGAGGCTGAGGCAGGAGGCCAGCCTGGGCTACAAGTGAGTTTCAGGCCATTCAACTTAGATGTCCATCAGAAGAATGGATAGATCTGAATCTGTTCATACATGTAATACTACACAGAAAATAAAAACAAATCAACATGCCAATCTCATCTCAATGTTATGCTAAATGTAAGCTCAACTGATATGAAGAATTTATCTTTCAATCTGTAAGCTTATAAAATCCACTCATATACTTCATTTAATCCTCTAATATCCTGAAATCAGGCATAATGTTCTACAGATTAGAACACTTGAGATGAAGCTTTGCTCAAATTACACAGTAAATAGAATAGCTACTTCTGTGACTTTTCGCTTCATATAATATAACCTTCAGATTTTTAATCTCGGTGATTGTAATTATGAGTTTTCTAATTGGACCAATTTTAATTTTTTATTTTTTGAGACAGTCTCTCCCTGTAGCCCCAGCTGGCCTGGAGCTCTCTATGTAGACCAGGCTGACCTCAAACTCACAAAGATCTGACTGCCTCGGTCTCCCAAGTGCTGGGATTAAAGGCACATCCTGCAAACTGGACCAATTTTAAAGGGGTGGCCTACTGTGGTATTCCTACAGACTCAATCCATAAATAATGTAAAAATATTTTGTTATTAGAAAGTGTTAAGTAAAATAAGAACACCAGTGGTTGGTTCAGAAAGAAAGTTGGCACATAATTCCATTCAGTGAGTTTTAGAATGAAAAAGGCCTCAAGGTCATGATTAGGCTTCAGTGTGGGAGAAAGAACTAGACAGAAATAATACGATATATGGAGATCTAAACATGCTGGAGCCTTAGAGAAGCTTCCCTTTAAAATCTGAAGAGGTTTATTAAGAATGAAAATAAGAGAGATAAGATAGTGATCAGGCGAGGGATAGCTTTGAGGGGCAACAGAGGCCAGAGAAACCTCTTCAGAAAGCATCTTTCAAAACAATCTTTTTTTTTGGTCTTTTTGAGACAGGGTCTCCCTATAGCCTCAGCTGACCTGGAACTTGCTATGTAGACCAGGCTGGCTTTGAACTGAGAGATCTGCCTGCCTCCCAAGTTCTGGGGTTAAAGGTATGTGCCACCACACCCAGCACAGACTGCTTCTTAACTATGTCCAAGAGAGAGCTTTGGAGGGCTGTGGCCTGATTCAGGCTGTAAAATTTTGCCTAAAGGTGCTGGTTCTAAGAGAATGGTAATGATTCTGTGTAATGGTATTCTTTTGGTGGAAACATTACATATGTGACTGTAAGTGATACTTTGACATGTAGCCTATCACAGGAGGCAAGATTATTCCATGTTCCTCCATCTATTCCTCCAAGGGTATGTTATATCCTATCATGAGGAAACTGAGTGAGTACAATGTTTCTTTTTGATAAGTGGGACATAACAAATCTGGACCAGGGCTGAACTAACTTGTAATAGTGGAGAGGTAAGATTTTCACCTTTTACCACCAGACTTTCATTTAAACGAACAGTAAATACTATTAGAGGTAAAGTTTAGGAAAGATACCCAATTAATAATCTGCTTCAGGGAGATAAATTAATACCCCTTCCTAGAATTTTTAATGACAAGTAACAGGAAATTTAAAATGTTTAAACAGTGGAGGAAAAATATTAATTTAAGAAAACAAACTACAGAAGAGTATCAAAGTCTGAGTTTTGCTCAAGAGGAGGATTGGTCCTAAGGTTAGTTTATCAACCTTATCAAAGTGGTTAATATTCCATACACTAGAAGGTTTCTCATTTCTTTTTTTGTTGTTGTTTGTTTTTGGTCTTTTTATGAGACAGGGTCTCCCTGTGGCCCCAGCTGTCCTGGAACTCGCTATGTAGTCCAGGCTGGCCTTGAACTCACAGATATCTGCCTGCCTCTGCCTCCCAAGTGCTGGGATTAAAGGCGTTCACCACCATACCCAGCGGTTTCTCATTTCTAATCATTGTTATGTCCCAATCTTCCCTGACGGGTGTACCATACACCACATTTGATCTAAATGGCCAAGCCTGGAAATGCAGAATAGCAACTGGAATCACATGTCCAGTTTTACCTTATCATTGCCTAGAAGAACTTTGTTTAAAAATATTTATATTAAAGCCAGGCATGGTGGCACTTGCCTGTAATCCCAGCACTCGGGAGGCAGAGGCAGGTGGATCTCTTTGTGTTCGAGGCCACTCTGGTCTACAAAGTGAGTTCCAGGACAGCTGGGGCTACAGGGAGACCCTGTCTCAAAAAGACAAAAAAAAAAAATTATATTAAATATTATTATCTCTGTATCTCAAGTACTGGCATTACAATCATGTACCAGAGTCACATCTTAATTGGCTTTTCTCATGATTGTCAGAACTCTGAAGTAGCAAGTGTGTAGGAAATGGAAGTGACCTACTGAGTCATCTTAGTTCGTTATGGCTTTTTAAAAAAAACGAGTCAACTGATCACATTCCACTCACTGAAGCTCAGTTATTTATTAGAGATGTACTTCACTCAGGCTTTCAGTTAGTTCTTGGGTAAGGGCTTAAGTAAGGAGAGGCTTTCTAGCGCTTAGCTTTTTGTTTCCTTGGGCAGAGGATGGAGGCCCCATCTTGCATAAGCTAGACAAATGCTTTACAATTGAGCTAGGGCTTACTTTAACAAGGCATTTGAATTACAATGGGGTTGTGGAGTGAAGGAAGCTCTTTGTGAGGAAGTAAGACCAGAAGGATGAACAGTAGAACTTCTTTGCTCAAGGATTCAACCATGAGTTTTTAAAAATGAACAAACGCAGTGTTCCTTGAATGAAGGGTAGTGGGAAGATGCCTCAGGTAGGAAACAAGATTAAGTGGGTTCCCGCGGGCCTCTTCAAGGAAATTTAAACTGGGTCTGATCACTCTGATTTAGCATCTTCTCTCTTAAGAGGTCAGTTATCAGGCTGGCCTCCACCTTGCTACACAGCAATTTCTAATCCTCCTGCTTCCAAGGGCTGGAATTACAGGCCCCAGTACTGGGATCCTTTTTTTTTTTTCAATATTTATTTCAAGTGTACGAGTCTTTGTACCCCGTGTCCTGCGAAGTGCGTGGAGGCCCCAAGAGGGCATCGGATTCCCTGGAACCGAATAACTGGTTGTTAGCCACCGTATGGATGCTGGGAAGGGAACCAGAGCTCTTAGCCACTGAGCCATCGCTCCAGTCCCTTTCTTTCAGCATGCTTCGCTGTAGCAGCTATCTTCCTTCCACCCCCTGCCTGCCAAATAATTTCTTCCTTGGGATCAGATTTCCTTGACCTTTACTAGGGGTTCTTCAGGGCGCTCGTATTTCACTTCTCTCCTAACCTCACCCCACAATTCTCTCAACTCCAGGCCACTGACACTCCCGTCAAGGCCAAGGTGTGTGGGGAGCCAAGGTAAAGGGCATTAACAAGTTAAAAGTTTTCATTGGTCCTGAACCATTAGATCGGAACAGTAGCCCCAACACCCATACTGGATCATTACACCACAACTACTCTGACGGATGGCTTTGTTGGCGCTTGCTTCAGATTCCTGCCACCATGCGAGAGCACTCTAAGAATCTTCCTGAATGTTCCGGTCACGAGCCCTGTCACCTCTTCCTCTCTGCTACTTCCTCAGCCAAGGCCCTCCTCCAGGTGCGTGGACAATGCTGCAGTGGTGACAGAGCCCCAGGCTCCGTAGCGGCCTGCGCGCCGGGAGCTGGGAGCCGGGAGTCGGCAGCCGGGAGCTTCGCCAGGCCGGGCGCCGGAAGCGTGCCCGGAGCGCGCGGGCGCAGTCGGAAGGCAGCGCGGCGGACTGGGGGCGTCGCGAGGGGCGGGGCCGCTGCACGCAGGG